GCTGCAGAGAGCGGACGATTTCATCGAGAGCGTGGTGACGGCAGCCTGCCAGCTCGCCCGGCACCGCAAGTCCAGCACCCTGGAGGTGAAGGACGTGCAGCTGCACCTCGGTACGTGGCCTCGCTTCTCCCTGACGCAGCCGACTCCGGGCGTGTGGGCAGGCGCCCTCTGGTGTCACGGGTGCACCTGGCAGCGCGCTTGGTAGAGAAGGAAGCCCTTCCATGGGGGTGCATGCCCTGGCTCTGGGCCTGACTCCACCCCCAGTGGTGTCACCCTTCCTGCTTCAGTCTCTTAGACCCCGTGTCCTGCCTGTGAAGGAGAGCTCATCATACTGCACTGGGTGTGACAGGCTGTGCGTGAAGTGACAGCACAGAATTGAGCACGGGCGATGGCGTGGCCCCACCGTTCAGGCAGTGTCCTCATGTCCTTGGCCGTGGCCAGCCTGGCCGTGCACTTCCCCCAAGCAAATTATGATGTACATCCAACCGTGCTTCCTGCTTTGCCACTTAGTGGACACCAGCTCTGAGCGTGAGCCTTTCCGGGATACTCTACCATCGATAGCCACGTTCACTCAAAGAAATCCTCACCCACCCCCGCTTTGGTTACAGTGCAGTCACGAGAGAACATGTAGGAGCTGGCGGCAGGGTGGTTAGGGTGGCTGGATCCCACATGGTCGACAGCGGCTCGAGTCCTGGACCTGATGGCTGGACAAACGCTGGGTACATGTGCATGCATGCCCCAAATCCCAAGAGGACAGTGGAGGAGAGGAAACTGGTGCGACTGTCCACCCTGGAGAGCAGTTTCTCACTTCTCGCTCGCTCGCTCGCTCCTGCTCCCTCTTCAGCAAATGCATGCAGTCTATAGCAAATCTTAAAAATCAGAGGACATCGTAACTGCAGAGGCAGCCGTGCCAGGGAAATGGGCAGAAGGTACTAGAACTCGGCAGGTCAGCCACGACTGGTGACTGGAGGCTTCTTTCCCAGTGTTGAGTGCTGTTTGCTGTAGCCAGCAGGTGGTGTGGAGGTCAGGCAGCTGGATCCTACACGGCAGGCTGTGTGGTTCAAGTCCTCGACCCAGCAGCTTGAAAATCATGCCAGGTGCTTGTACATAGGTATCCACAATGCCAAGAGTAGAAGCGGTTGCTGTGTGGCCATTCCCCCTGGGGGTGTGTTCTTTCTCTCTGTCTCTGTGAGTGCATGCACCCTATAGCAGACTTCTTTTTTAAAAGAATTATTCATTTTACTTTATTATTATTTAATTTGGCCAGAGAGAGAGAGAGGGAGAGGGAAAGTGAGAAAGCAGGCTACCAGGTTCAGGACTTGAACTATGGTCAGCCATGTGGGACTCCATGACCTCAATCACCTGCCACCTGCCAGCACCCCCTACAGCAGACATTTAAAAACAAAGCTGTTGTGTAAGGCGGGGCTGGGAGTTGGTAGTAGGTGGGGTCGAGAATTCCCTCCTGGTCAGTTCTGTCATTGTAGCAGACGCAGGTGACCTGGTTATATGCTGGTTATCACCGACTGCCCCAAAGCAGTGACTTAGAACAGTAGCAGTTGCTGACTTCATTCATGAATCGGGTTGACGGGCTCAGCTAGGCAGTTTTGCTTCAGGTCTCTCTGGCATGAATGTCAGGCGGCAGCGGAAGGTAGGTATGTTCATTTTCTAGGGCTGCTGTAACAAAGAATCACAAAGTTGGTGACTTAAAACAACAAAAATGTGGACCAGCAGGTGGCATAGTGGTTAAGGTGCTAGACTTCTACATGGCGAGCTACTGTTCGAATCCTGGATTGAGTGGCTTGAAACATGCTGAGCATGTGTGCTTGCGTGCCCAAATCCCAAGAGAAGAATTGACGAGAAGGGACTGCAGAGTCGCCATCCCCCAGGGGGTAACTTCTCACTTTCCCTCTCATTGTCTCTCTGTCTCTTTTCGGCAAGTGCATGCACCCTATAGCAACAAAAAAAAAAAAAAAAAAAAAAAAAAAATGGTGAAGTGGTTACGTCACTGGACTCCCATGTAATCGACCAGGGTTCGGTCCCGGACTCAAGGACTCGAAACTCACGCTGAGCATGTGTGCGTGCATGCCCAAAATCCTGAGAGGAGAATGGAGGAGAAAGGATTGCCTCGTGGCCGTCCTGGGGGTGGGGGAGATTTCTCGCTTTCTGTCTTTGTATCTCTCTGGTGAGTGCACGTGACTTGTAGCAAAAATCTCTGTCAGAAAAAAGTTGTATTTATTTCTTCCGTGACAGAGACAGGAGGCCCCGAGAGCGTCCTCACACTGTAATTGCCGCCCAGCCTCAGCCAGCCTGGACGGTCGCAGGTGTGTGTGTGGCCTAGCGTGCTGAGGGTGTCCTGGGGTGTGAACCCAAGACCTCTCCCACGTGGGCTCAGTTCTGTGGCTGCTGCACCTGCCTGACCGCCATCATGGAAAGTGCTTTATTGTCAGAGCATGCGTGGGCTGGCCAGAGGAAGGTGAGGCCGGAAGCCCCTCCCAGTGGGCGTGGCCGGAAGCCCCTCCCAATGGGCGTGGCCGTGTGGCAGGCTGTTCCCTTGCTTTAGGCTGTTGAGTCGGAGCATGCGCACATGCCAGAATGTCCCTGGAGCCGCTGCTGGGCACAAGTGCCCGAGGAGTGGTTTTCTGGCCTCTGGGCCAGGATTCGAACTGCAGTCGGCCATGTGGGGGCCAGCTCTCTTCACAGTGCCCTGCTGTGGTGTGCTGTGGGGCAGGTCCTTTGATGTGTCCTTTAAAACCCGTGGGAGGCAGCTCTGTCACTGGACTGCCACGGAGCCAACTGCAGTCTGAATCCCAGGCCCAGTGACCCGAAACTCAGGCCTGGCGCGTGTGCGTGCGTGCCCAAGAGCCCGAGAGGAGAATGGAGGAGAAGGGACTGCATGGCTATTCCCCCTGGGGGTGATTTCTCGCTCTCCCTCTCACTGTCTCTGTCTCTCCTTCTCTTTGGTGAGCATACATACCCTAAGGCAAAACCTCTAAAACAAAAAATAAAAAACTGCTTAGAGCAGGACCCACGAGTAGCGTAGAGGTAGAGAGAGGTTAAGGCCCTGGGTCTCACATGGCCGGCTGTGTGGTTCAAGTGTTGGACCTGCCTACTTAAAGCACGTTGGGCATGGCACCAGCAGTTGACGTAATGGCTACATCGCTGGACTCCCATGTAGTTGACCACGGTTCGAGTCCTGGATCCGGTGGCTTAAACTCATGCCAGGCGCGTGTGTGTGCGTGTCCAAGGTCACGAGAGGAGAATGGAGGAGAAGGGATTGTGGTGTGGCCATCCCCCCGAGGGGTGATTTCTCGCTTTCTGTCTCTCTGCCTCTCTCTGTCTTTCTGGCAAGCACACACCCTATAGCAAAAACCTTCCGCCAAAACACGTTAGGTACGTGTATACATGCCCAAAACCCTAAGAGGAGAAGCATTTGTGGCGTGGCCATCTTCCTGGGGGTGATTTCTCACTTTCTGTCTGTCCAAAAGTATACATGCCCTATAGCAAAAATCTCTCAAAAATAAACCCTTGGAGGAGGGCCCGCAGTGGTGTGGAGGTTAAGGTGCTGGATCCTCTTGGCTGTCGCATGCTGAGTCCCTGACCCAGCGCCTTGTACAAACATGGCCGCCTTTGTGTGTGTCCAGAATCCAGGAGACTGGACGCAGGGTCGTGCCATGCTGCGGCTCTCACTTTCTCTGTCTCTCAGTGAGTACAGACACCCTGTGGCAAAATTTGAAGAAAGGAAAGGCAGCTGGGAGGAGCCGTGTGTGCTCCAGGTGTGGGGCCTGGGCCCGTGTGGGTGCAGGTCGGAGCAGGCGGTGCCATCTGGTCTGGCCTCCCCCGTCTGGGGCACACTGTGCTGACCCCGTCCACACTTGCTGTGCCCTCCCTGCAGAGCGCCAGTGGAACATGTGGATCCCAGGCTTCGGCTCAGAAGAAATCCGGCCCTACAAAAAAGCCTGCACCACAGAAGCGCACAAGCAGGTGAGGCCCGCCGGGGGCCCTGGGCGCACACGCTCCTCACTCTGTGCTTCCCGGGCAGGCTTCACCCCAGGCCCAGGCCCAGGCCTGGAGCGGGCAGGGCAGCAGTGTCAGTGTTGGGGGAGCCTGGGTTCACTGCCCTTCCAAGGGAGTCTGCAGCCGGGACCGCCCCCAGCGCCACTTCCCAGCCCGTTTAGTAGCTGTAGCCACCGTCGTGTATGTGTGTTTGCACGTATGTGTCTGTCTCTGCATGTGTCTGTGTATGTCTCTGTGTGTGTTTGCACATATGTGTCTGTCTGCATGTGTCTGTGTATGTCTGTGTGTGTGTGCGTGTATGTCTGTCTCTGCATGTGTTTGTGTATGTATGTGTGTGCATGTATGTGTCTGTCTCTGCATGTGTCTGTGTATGTCTCTGTGTGTGTGTATGTGTCTGTCTCTGCATGTGTGTGTGTGTCTGCACGTATGTGTCTGTCTCTGCATGTGTCTGTGTATGTCTGTGTATGTGTGTGTGTCTGCGTGTATGTGTCTGTCTCTGCATGTGTCTGTGTATGTCTGTGTGTGTGTGTTTGCGTGTATGCACACACACACACACACATGCAGTGTCTCATCACAGCAGTGAGCACGGTGGATTGGCCAGTGCTGAGTACACGCCGGAGTGTCTGTGGGGCGGTGCGGCAGCTGTCCGCCCTGCGGCCTCTTCATCACAGGTCACCAGCTGGGAGGTGCCCATCTCCTTGCTGTGTGCCAGTCTGAAACCGGGCCCTCCCTGATTTCCCCCCGTCAAAAGGACAGGGCAGGGCTGGACCCGAAGGCCCGGAGAGCCCGGCCGGCACCTCCCTTGTGCAGCTTTGTTTGCAGCTGCCCGAGGGCAGTTTGCGTCTTGGGCCCATGATGTTGGTCCCTCTGGCCCGCCTGAGCGTGTCCGGGGCCCTGACTTCTGCTCTGGCTGGAAGACCTGCCGCATGGCCCTTGGCTACCGAACCTCATGGCTTCAGTCTGCAGTGTAGACCATGCTGCCTGCTAGCCGGCCCTGCAGGTTCAGGGAGCTGCTGGGCTACGTGTGTAACTGCTTGCTTCTTTGTCCTTTCAGAGGATGGCACTGATCCGGAAAACAACCAAGAAATAGCACACGGACCGGTCTGGGCACGGACACCAGTATGCTGGGGCTCGAGCTGAGGCTCGGCCCGTGCACCTCGGGATGTTTTTAATGCTTACAGAGAAGCATATATTTTGTATTAACAGTGCAGCAATATCCGTAATGACTGAGAACCTGCCAAAAGAATAAAGCCTCCCACCCCGCGTGCGGGTCCTTGCCTGCCATCGTCCAGGGGAGCGGTGCGTCCTGCAGAGGAGACCTTACGGCCGCCTGTCCTAGACGTGAATGCGGCAGGACGGAGCGCTGTGCTCGGCCGCGCAGACAGTGTTAGCAGGATTTGTAGAGGGTGGTGTTCCCCTTCCCCTCCTCCCTGTCCTTGGTTGACGTCAGTGTTTATACGAACATGACTGTCGTTTGCTTTTCCAGAATAAAGAAGTTGTGACTTGGAAGACACAGGGTGCGTGGCTCCCAGCCCTGGCAGTCTAAAGGGAGCCAGGGCGAGTGAGGCTAGCGGGGCTCAGGCAGTGGGGGGCACTGGAGCGCCCGTCTGTGTCAGAACCCAGGGACTTCCCTCCCAGGGAAGCTGCTGCCTCTGGTCGGCGTTCAGTCCGCTTTCTCTGCCCTCAGAGCGACTGGGCGGCCTGCTCCGTGAGCTCAGGGCCGAGGCGCCGTCCTGGCCTGTGCAGTGGCCTGGCCTCCCCCTGCCACCCTCTCACCGCTACTGCAACCCCAGGGCCTCCGGCTATGTCTGCCGTGGGGAAGGGTTCTGCGATGCTCGCCGCCAGACCCTGCAGGCCTCCTAGCAGCACTGCCTGTGTGCAGGGGCTCTCTGCACTGTGGGGTCCTGCCTTTTGAGGGAGGGTGGCCCTCAGGATCACCAGCTCAGGGACATCCACTTGGCCCTCTTGTGGCCTCTGCTGCTGGAGGTGCAGCCTGGAAGAGGACCAACCTCCCCCCGCTCCCAGGACACCTGCCCTCGGCCCGTGGAGCTCAGGCAAGCAGCTCAGAGGCGTGCTGTCGCTCCTTGCTGTGGCCCAACAGCACCAGTGCCCCTCTGGCATGATCTGCCACTCAGCCACCAGGTCACTCTGAGACGTCCCCCTGGGCCCAGGACTCCCCAACGCCACTGGGCAGTGCTCTCAAAGGGTGCCCCGTGGCCTCTGCAGCTCACGAGGACGCTGACTTCGGACTGGAAGGAGTCCAGATGGGCTCGAATCCTCCAGCGAGGACAGACAGAACGAGGGAGTCGGGAGTCTAGCAGAGCATGCGAGGGCAGGGCCAGGCGACCTCTGCTCTTGGCCCGGTCGCCTGCCTGCTTGTCCCTGTGCCCTACTGGACCCGGAGACAGCGGGTGGGACAGGCACGAGAGGAACTGTCACCGAGGCCCAGAGGGCGCTGTGGTAGAGCGGGGTGGGGGGGTGTCGGCTGGGGAGGAGCCGTCCTGGCCGAGGTCTGCCGGGTCCAGGGCTCCAGCAGAGCTGCGGGGACGTGAGCAGGCCAGGGCTTGCGGCACCTCCGGGCCTGGCAGAGTGGCCTGCACACACACGTGCCAGAGCCTCTGAGGGGCCTGGGGGAGTGTGGCATGCGGAAAGCCCCTGGGTGGAAGGTGGGAAGTCAGTTCATCCAGGCATGTACAGCGTGAGGTGCACGACTTGGGGAGCAGCCAGGTCGGGGAGTGAGCGGGCGGACCTCACAGCCTGCCAGAGAGCACCCGGGCAGGACTGGCCCACCACCATCCCTTCTGCCCCATCTCCGTCTTGCAGGGTTTCCGGCACACACATGGACCTGGCGTTCTGTGTGTGTGAGATTTCTGCTGCAGAGAGACAGAAGTGAGAAGTCGCCCCGGGGACCGCTGCACTCCCGGCTGCTCTCCTGTCGGGGTCTGAGGCACGCATGCACATGTGCCCCGTTTGTTCAAGCTGCTGGTTCTGAGACGCATACCGTGCACCGGCCACGGGGGACCCGGCCGCCCTAACCTCCACGCCACACGCCGGCCCTGTATGCCTGTTTCGAGTATCAGAATCTGCTTGTCCAGTGAAATTGCTTGGAGCACTGAAATGTACGAATTTTGAAAATTTATTACTATTTTTAAATCTGATCAGAGAGAGACGGGGTGGGGGGACGGAGGTGAGAAAGCAAGCGTCAAGCCCAGGCCTGGAACTGTGGAGTCCAGCGCTTCAGCCATCACCCCCTGCTGGTCCCGAGAAGTCTGTCTTAGTCTCAGACTGAGGGTGCAAGGTGGGCTTGGGCAGGTGGCCGGTGGGCACAGGGGTGTGGGCTTCGCCTATCTGCTTCTGGGTCCACCACGCCTCAGGGAGGCACGGGGGCGGG